ATAGCCCATAATACAAAAACTTTTTAGGAAAAATTTGGTCACGTGACCCCAGCTGCAAAGGGCCTATTGATCAAGGTTTCATTTCCAGGGTTTGCCCATAATTAACACCTAACTTTTTATGCTAGAAAGAATACACAAAAGGTAGTAAGAGTAAAAGGGCCGAGAAAAAGGAAAGGAAAGGGGCAAGAAAAGAATTCTGAACAGGCAATCTCGAAAAAAGTCTAAATTTGGGCTTATGCACACGCCAAATTAAAATTTTGTACATTTTTGTACTTAATCTTCGCAAAATTTATCTTTTTGGGAAAAAGAAATAGCTTTTTCAGCAAAACTAAGGCTCATTTTACGTCATGGCAGCCAAACAACTGATTTAACGATTAAAAATTGGGGATTAAAGGGTTAATATTAACTAAAATTAATGCAACAGAGGTAAGGTATGGTATGGACCAGTGAACAGTCACTGTTTTATTATTATATAGCAAGGAGTCATCCAGCTTAGCCAAGTAATTCACAGGAAGCATTATATGTGATTGAATATATAAACGTATGGTTCATGTCTGTTAGAGTAAACATTTCCTAGATCTGCACGCACTACAGTGTATCACATACCATAAACTTCCAAGTCTTACCCAAACCTTAGGTGCAATTAATTATAAGCCCTCGTGAACATAAGCCCACGGAACAGTAACAGGGTCCGAAATTGCAACCAGCTGGTTGTTAGTGCAACTGAAAATTGAGTGTTGGCAACCAGAATTTTGAGGCTAGTCGCCATTAGGTGACTAACTTTTAGCGTCTTGAACTGGCATTCAAGGAATTGTTTTCATTTTAAATGGAAAAACGTTGTGTTTGGTTTCAAGCAAGAAACTTACCCATTGTGTCTGCAAAGTTTTTAACATCCAAAAAAAAAAAAAATTAGATCAAAAATGAAGGTAAGATTACAGTTAAATGACTCTCAAAACAGTTATAGTCCACACACTGTAATCAAAATTTAGCACTGCCATGTTTTCAGTGGTTTCAACTGTCAGCCACACCGTGGGCATATGGCAGAAACACGTGACCACATTTTTCCATCTGACGACTGAAAAAAACATTTCAGTTGCCAGTTGGCACCTGCCTAAAAAAAGTTAATTTCGGACCCTGAGTTAAAGAACAAAATTCTTTTCTTCTCCCTTTTATGTCATTGCTTTATTTCACTGACTTTGAAGTGTATACAATGATTGTAGGACATGCTTTATTTTTTCTTACATGTGCATCAAATTTTTCAGATTCTTGAAGCTATAAACTTAGATAATAAGCCCACCCATAAGTAAGCCCTCCTGAAAACAAAGCCACCAAAAACCCTTAAGGTACATAGATTAAACACTTTAGGGTCAGGTTGTTCAAAAGCCATATTCCAGAATTAAGAGTTGAGCATGGCTTTGATTTTTTTTTGTGTAAAAGCTCCCCTGCCAGTGTTTTCATCAACAAGTAACCAAAAGCCAATCAAATGGCACATATCACCTTTTTCACAGGTGGAGAAAACAATAGGTCCAGTCAAGAGCCATTTGTCATGTTTTTTTAAAGTGTAAACCATAACAGGGATATTCTGATTCAAGGTTCTTTGGCAGCCAAGCAGCATTTCACTTTTCAAATTGTTTGCAAAATCATACAAATCTGCTCTTGGGGCTCTTTATAAAGTTGAAATTTCTTTTACTACTTTCATAAGTCAGAGAGGATTTGTTTATGGAACTTAGGTAGAGAATTAGTTGAAAGCATGGAGAACAAAAACACAAAATAGAAGATATTGTCTTGTTCCTTGAAATGTTGTCTTTGCAGAAACAAGTTTAAGATCTGCGTCTTTCGACAGCTCCATTGACTTGTTTATTTCAGAACAGCAAAACGAAAACACTGCAAAGAAAACAAAAGTGAGTTTATATTTTGAAAGCGTCTACACTGTCATTGTAAGGTATGGTAGCAATTTTTTTCAGCATCTTAAAAGAAATGTCCTTTCCAGCTAGCATCAACAATGACCTAACATTTCAAAAGCTTTGCAAAACACTCCATTCAAAACATAAAGTAAAACTGTTTTTTTAGTCATTTTTAGCTAATCGAGCAGCTAAGTGGGTTTCCCAAGTGTGCACCATTTGATAAAATGCCATTGAGTTATCAGAAAATTCCTGAATACGCTTGCATTTGCCATGAAGTAATTTATTTCTGTTGATTGATAAATATAATTGAATGTTGTACAGAACAGAGTGTTTAAGACTGATTAAAAGTCAGATCAGATTTTATTGGACTCGATCCTAAGGCAAAGTCTTTCTGGGGTGGATACAGGATTTTAGAGTGGAGGGTTAAGATACAGACCACCAAAGGTGGTCCACTGCAGGGGAGTCTGGCCTCATCTGCCCCTGGAAAATTTTTAGAATTGAGGTCCTCGGAAACGGGATTCTGGCATTCGGAGGCCCCCTCAGTGTGTAATATAACGTCTCATTTTTTAAAATAATTTTAGGGGGTTCAACCAAACCACCAGTAGAAATAACTCCTACTTTTAATATTCCTGAATCGACTGTTACATTTTGGTTTCCACACATACAGTATGTGTGCTTATACAAAATAGCAAAAACAATTCTTATTATACGATTGGTTTCTTATACATTCCATGTGTGCGGAATTAGTCATGACACTACACCCCCTAGATCTGCCCCAGCCTTTACCCTTTGTTACTTGGAACAACACTTAACTCTCACAGAACTTATCTCCTATCAGAACTGAAGTACACATAACTTATTCTAGGGCTTTACAAATATACCTGTAGGTGTTGTATGAGTTTTGCAATGTTTTCCGAGTCCCACAGTTATTTTGTCAGCAATCATCATTTGTTAAATCTTCAACTAAGGAATTTTTCATTCCAGCACTTTTCCATGTTATTTTAACTTACAGCACCACCTGACAGATCACTATATACATACTAGTTATGCAAAGCTTTTGGGTTATATACCATGGAATATCCTACAAGTCACTTGTATTTTCAAGGTATACACACAAGCCTTTACTTTAGTATATACCATGGCAACCTTATGAAAACAACCCTATATTATTTCCCTATATTTTACATTCCTTTGAGCTTTGAATGTACTGATATTAAAACATTGTTACAACCAAGGAAAATAATTTTTTTAGGCTTGCTCAAACTTGATTATTACTGCATTTGCTCTNATCGCAACACGGTGGCCAAACGCACGCAACATGTTGCGCCCAACAATGTTGCGATATGTTGCGTTGACATGTTGCGATCGTTTGGCCGGGGCTTTAAATTTTTCGTGATTCGAGTGCGACGTTTATACGAGGGCGGCATTTATTTAAAATCCAATTTATTTCTTGCAAACAGTAGTATGGTAACTGAACATTTGAATTTTAAAAAACAGAAACATGTTTTAGTGCTTGTCTGAAAAGTCATCTTCAAAACATTGTTATCAATGAAAGCAAATTTCCAAAGCTTGTTTAAGCTGAACTATACCGTATACTGTTATCGCGTTTTAATTATATTCCTTTGAGCTTCGAATGTACTGATATTAAAACATTGTTATAATCAAGGAAAATAAACTTTTTAGGCTTGCTCAAACTTGACTATTACTGCAGTTGCTTTTTGAGTTTACTTTTCGAATAAACACCGCAGTTTAAGTGGCATACCTGAAAACTAGCTAGTAGTAGCTAAGTGTATCGACCACTATAAAATCATGATGTGGCGCTTATTAATATTTCTGCTCTAAAATGCGGCGTTCATTCGAGGGCGGCGTTTAATCGAATAAATACGATATTTAGTTGACGTTGTTAGGTTGGTGTTCTTTCTTTCAACACTTTTTTTTATATCTTGTCGTTTAAGTATATTCTGGGGAAGCCAAGATCCAGGTAGTTTGGTAGATGGTTATTTACTAGTTTGTGGGATCTTTTGGAGAAACTCCGCTCGTACTGGACAGGCGATTGTGTATGTTACATCTTTTCATACGATTAGTCATACTAATACCAAGTTGAGACTTTGCGATCTAATCCCAAACCATATTGTGCAAGCTTCTGCAGCATACTCTAATGGTTTCTAGTATCAAAACCTCTCTTTAAGTGAATGATTTAGTATTTACGAACGAAGATGGTATTGAGTAGTACTATGTATGTCTCGGTTAACTCGAAACTGGACCATTGGTTAAATTAGTTAAACATTTTTTGCCACTACAGGCATAATAACAGATATTTGTACCGTATACGTAGTTGTTTAGGCCAGACTTGTCGGTGAGTCTTTTGCAAATATCCAATCTGAAGGATATATGCCACTCGATAATGACTGAATGACAAATGCATGTCAGAGAAGGCGTCACTACATTTACATAGTCAAGGCAACTCTTTAGTGTTACTAGATACCTTCCATGGTTGAAATGAACTCAATTCCCTTTCTATCTTTGCTGGTGGACACAATTCTGAAAAAGTTCTTTAAAAGCTTGTTCTTGTGATATGTCTGCAACGAATAAATTATGTAAGAGAAAATCGCACCATACCAAGAGCAAGCTTCCCTTTTGTTGGTCTGTCTGTATATGCTCGAGTATTAGCCCGTGGTACTGTTGTTAGATTCATGCATGTAACATTCAGTGGAACGAATACCGGTGAAACTAAACCTGGCAAGGAATTTTTCGGAACGCTAAAAACAAATTGACCCGTTAAACAGCCCTTCTGAGAAAAACCTGGAACAAGAGTGCGCCCGTAAGTTGTTATGGTATTACCTTTGAACATCCTTGGAGACCCAGGACGGGACCCGGGGGCGGTAAGTCAAGGGAAAGTTAGCCTGCGTAGCAAGCGTTTCTGTGGGGTTCGGGAGCAAAGAATTACAGCGCGAAAAATGGAGCCCCCTCTCTCTTTTTTTTGGCTCT